AGCTGACACTCGTTGCCTCTGATTGGGAGTCACTCAGGCCAACATAGAAATAGGGAACATAGATCTACACACCCTGGCTCAACATAACAGTGTCCCCAGAGCCAGGGCGTGACAGTACCCCCCCCTAAAGGCGCGGACTCCGACCGAGCCAACTACATACCACAGGGGAGGGACCGGGTGGGCACTCCGCCTTGGCGGCGGATCCGGCTCTGGGCCCGATCCCCACTTCCTCTCCAACCCCCCAAAGTACCCCTGGTCCGCTCTGGCCCCGCTGGCCGGAGCCGGACTGACGACACGCACCCCTGGCTTGGTGCGTGGAACAGGAACGGACCGGACCGGGCTGACGATGCGCACCCCTGGCTTGGTGCGTGGAGTAGCAACTGGCCGGACCGGGCTGACGATACACACCCCTGGCTTGGTGCGTGGAGCAGGAATGGACCGGACCGGGCTGACGATGCGCACCCCTTGCTTGGTGCGTGGAGTAGCAACTGGCCGGACCGGGCTGACGATACGCACCCCTTGCTTGGTGCGTGGAGCAGGAATGGGCCGGACTGGGCTGGCGACGCGCACCACAGACTTGATGCGTAGAGCAGGAACGGGCCAGACCGGGCTGGCGACGCGCACCACAGACTTGGTGCGGGGAGCAGGAACAGGCCGGACCGGGCTGGCGACGCGCACCACAGACTTGGTGCGGAGAGCAGGAACGGGCCGGACAGGGCTGACGAAACGCACCACAGGTTTGGTGCGGGGAGCAGGAACAGGCCGGACCGGGCTGGCGACGCGCACCACAGGTTTGGTGCAGGGAGCAGGAACAGGCCGGGCCGGGCTGGCGACGCGCACCATTGGCTTGGTGCGGGGAGCAGGAACAGGCCGGACCGGGCTGGCGACGCGCACCACAGACTTGGTGCGGAGAGCAGGAACGGGCCGGACAGGGCTGACGAAACGCACCCCAGACTTGGTGCGGGGAGCAGGAACGGGCCGGACCGGGCTGGCGACGCGCACCATAGGTTTGGTGCGGGGAGCAGGAACAGGCCGGGCTGACGACACGCACCACAGGCTCGATGCGAGGAACAGGAACAGGCCGGACCGTACTGGGGACACACACCACTGGCCCTACGCAGGGATCAGGAACGGGCCGGACCGGACTGGTAACACACCCCAGTACCTCTCGCCGTGCCTCCACACTTTCCCTCTCCTCTGTGACCAGTGGCCCCCTTAACCTGGCGGCCTCCTCTGCACACCCGCTGGACCGCTCCATCGCGGCATCCTGCTGCCCCGTCGTCCACGTCGTGAGCCCCCCCCTAAAAAATATCTGGGGTTCTCTCCTCCCCGTGGACCAGGCCTCCCTAGTTCTCGTCAGACTCTCACCCCACTGCTTCAAAGTCCAACCTCTCTGCTCTTCACTTGGCTTGGCCCAGTCGAGACTCTTAATCCATTGTTCCCAAGTCCACTCTCTCCGCTCTTCACTCGGCTTGACCCAGTCGAGGCTGCCACGGAGATCTGCTAGGGATTTCCCTGGTGATGGCTCCTCGACTCGCTGCTTGGTCCAGTTTTGGTGGGTTCTTCTGTCACGATCGTCAGGGTAAGGAGTAGACCAAGGCACAGCGTTGCAGGCAAACATACTCATTTATTAAGCGAAACGATATCAAAACAACAAAAGACGGAAACGTGACAGTACACGGTATAACACAACCAACTCGAAACAAGAACCCACAAAACCAAAGGAAAAACCGACAGTATAAATATGGCTCCCAATCAGAGACAACCAGCAAACAGCTGACACTCGTTGCCTCTGATTGGGAGTCACTCAGGCCAACATAGAAATAGGGAACATAGATCTACACACCCTGGCTCAACATAACAGTGTCCCCAGAGCCAGGGCGTGACATGGGCAAACGTACAAAATCAGCAGGGGATCAAATACTTTTTTCCCTCACTGTAAGTAAATTCTTGCATCTTGAACTTCTCAATACCAGAAACTCATCATAACAGGGGTTTAGTGTTTTAGCAATTCAGAAAAACTGTATTAACATGTGGCAAGGTTCTGATCAGAATAAATTCTTATAATGTTGTAGATGAGCATTTGCGTAATTCTTCTTCAATAACCATTACATCAAAATGTATGTTATGTATAGAGAAATTTGAGAGCACCATCTTGTCAATAATTTAACCTTGGCTGTAGTATTTGGAGTAAGAGCAAAATGCAAAATTTAAAAGGTGTGTTTTCTTATGCTATACTTGGCTGTTTATCCATGAGGAATGATTGTGCAAGCTACGCACTAAACTCTGGGAGGTTGTTATTTCAGATTTAGATGACAGTGGCTTTGCAAAGTGTTTTTCCAGATAATTTACGAAGCTTCATTCCCTCCTTCAGTGGAAGTGTTCATTTCATTCATAGAGCCATTAGACTTTGTATTTGGTGGCAGTAAGTTGTGGTAAACCCTGGTTCATAAATCAATTTGTGGATGATATCGATGTTACAGATAAGTGATGACGCTCGAAGGGTTGTAATAGACTAGCCCGTCGGGTGTCAAAGTGTTTCTCATTTATTGCATAAAGCACTTGGGTCCGTCCGATAATGTCTGGATTGTCTTCCACAAAATGCTATCAAACTGTCAGGGATATAATCGGATCAGGAGATAGTGGAAGAGGGAGTGACTTTTAAAGGACACATCCATGACACAGAAGTACCATGTCACAAAAATACCACTAATGAAAAATAGCACTCAGACACATTGAACAAAAAAAATAACAATATAACATGTTGTCGGGTTTTGTTATCACTGCTGGATTGGGCTACTGTTTCGATTATGCTTTGAAGGAAAAAAGTTGATTCAGTCTTTACACTTACAGTTGAAGTCGGAAGTTTACATATACCTTAGCCAAATACATTTAAACTCAGTTTTTCACAATTCCTGACATTTAATCCTAGTAAAAATTCCCTGTCTTAGGTCAGTTAGGATCACCACTTTATTTTAAGAATGTGAAATGTCAGAATAATAGTAGAGAGAATGATTTATTTCAGCTTTTATTTCTTTCATTACATTCCCAGTGGGTCAGAAGTTTACATACACTCAATTAGTATTTGGTAGCATTGCCTTTAAATTGTTTAACTTGGGTCAAACGTTTCAGGTATCCTTCCACAAGCTTTCCACAATAAGTTGGGTGAATTTTGGCCCATTCCTCCTGACAGAGCTGGTGTAACTGAGTCAGGTTTGTAGGCCTCCTTGCTCGCACACGCTTTTTCAGTTCTGCCCACACATTTTCTATAGGATTGAGGTCAGGGCTTTGTGATGGTCACTCCAATACCTTGACTTTGTTGTCCTTAAGCCATTTTGCCACAACTTTGGAAGTATGCTTGGGGTCATTGTCCACTTGGAAGACCCATTTGCGACCAAGCTTTAACTTCCTGACTGATGTCTTGAGATGTTGCTTCAATATATCCACATAATTTTCCTTCCTCATGATGCCATCTATTTTGTGAAGTGTACCAGTCCCTCCTGCAGCAAAGCACCCCCACAGCATGATGCTGCCACCCCCATGCTTCACGGTTGGGATGGTGTTCTTCGGCTTGCAAGCTACCACCTTTTTCCTCCAAACATAACGATTGTCATTATGGCCAAACAGTTCTATTTTAGTTTCGTCAGACCAGTGGAAATTTCTCCAAAAAGTACGATCTTTGTCCCCATGTGCAGTTGCAAATCGTAGTCTGGCTTTTTTATGGCGGTTTTGGAGCAGTGGCTTCTTCCTTGCTGAGCGGCCTTTCAGGTTATGTCGATATAGGACTTGTTTTACTGTGGATATAGATACTTTTGTACCTGTTTCCTCCAGCATCTTCACAAGGTCCTTTGCTGTTGTTCTGGGATTGATTTGCACTTTTCGCAGCAAAGTACGTTCATCTCTAGGAGACAGAATGCGTGTCCTTCCTGAGCGGTATGACGGCCACGTGGTCCCATGGTGTTTATACTTGCGTACTATTGTTTGTACAGATGAACGTGGTACCTTCAGGCGTTTGGAAATTGCTCCCAAGGGGTCTACAATATTTTTTCTGAGGTCTTGGCTGATTATTTTGATTTTCCCATGATATCAAGCAAAGAGGCACTGAGTTTGAAGGTAGGCCTTGAAATACATCCACAGGTACATTTCCAATTGACTCAAATTATGTCAATTAGCCTATCAGAAGGTTCTAAAGCCATGACATCATTTTCTGGAATTTTCCAAGCTGTTTAAAGGCACAGTCAACTTAGTGTATGTAAACTTCTGACCCACTGGAATTGTGATACAGTGAATTATAAGTGAAATAATCTGTCTGTAAACAATTGTTGGAAAAATTACTTGTGTCATGCACAAAGTAGATGTCCTAACCGACTTTCCAAAACTATAGTTTGTTAACAATAAATTTGTGGAGTGGTTGAAAAACGAGTTTTAATGACTCCAACCTAAGTGTACGTAAACTTCAACTGTATGTTTTCTACACTGCAAGTATGAAGCTGTTTGTGACTTCAACTGTATATAGGCTTTTGCAGAGGTGCGGGGAGCTGCTGTGGGGGGTTAAGTGTGTTGCTCAAGTGCACAACGGCAGGCAATGGCATCTAGGATTCGATACCAGCAACCCTCTTGTTGCCAGCTCACTTTTCGACAGATTTTTCCTGTTGGACCCGGGATTCGAACTCGCAACCCTCCAGTTGCTGGCTCGCCTCTCTAACCTTTTAGCCCTCTGCAATCAGATTTGAACGTTGTAAAATCAGAGTTGTAAAATGTTTGTCCAGTCTTCCCTATAAATCATTAGCTTTTCCTGTAATGCTTCATATCAGGTGAGTTCTGGACAGGTTCCCAAAGCTGTCAATTGATCTCTTGCATTTTACAGTTGCAGAAACATGAGGTTCCCTCTTCTGACAATAAGTTACTTTCCCACACTCATGGAGTTCCAGAGTTCACTGTTGTGGTGATTCCTCTGGTTCTCTGTGTGTGTAGTATAACCCTGTGTTGACTGTGTTTAGAACTGGACAGCTCTCAAGTATGGGGATAAGCAAGGTGTTGCAGGGAAGGAAGACTATTGTCGTAAGTGCATCCAACATCCAGCTTCTTTTGAATGTTTCACTAATGGAAATGATGTATAATGAGATATGGGTAACACTAAACTTAAAGCCTGCAGGTAATAAATGATGTATCATGACGCAGTCATAATGTATTGTAAGACTTTTGTCTCATAATCATTTCATGGCAATCCTAACTAAATACCAGCCATTTGAAATGTTGATACATAGACATAACATATTATAATCGTTATTGTAAGACATTACAAAGGCTCATAAATGCTTAATAACAAGTTATAAAACATACCAGCAGGCTTTAAGTAGCTTAAGTGTTACCGAGATAGGAAATGCATAAGATTGATTGGATTTATGGGAAAGGGGTGTAATTGTACTTTATAATGCATACAAAGAAACTACTCTTGTAATAATACTTATACTACTCATGAAATGCACTACAAAAAAATGCTCATGACAGTCAAAAGCATACTCATGTAAGGCATATGAAGGGTCATTGTTTGGGAAAGTTGGTTTGTTCAGTTGGACTGGTAGCTTTACCATTACAGATGTGTGCCTATTGTGTATCGCCCACTCCACCTGCCCAGTGTATTTGTGTGCTTTGCTAATTTTTTATGATATGTTTTCCACAGTTACCCTACAGTTTTTTTGGTAACACTTTACAATAAGGTTCCATTTGTAAAGGGTTTATAAAGGGGTTATAACGGTTATTTAATAATTTGTAAATGCCTTATAAACCATTAATAAACGGTTATATCGCATTGGCCAAAATAGTGCTATAACAATATTTACCTCCAGTTATTAACCATTTATAAATGCACTTATAAATGCTTATAAGATTAACCTTTATGTATCATCATGCAACCTTATTTTCAATGGCTGCACAGTTGAACAATAGTTATTTTCTCACTTTTGGGTGTGATGCATTGTTGCTCTGTCCCAGGAACAGAAGAGGTTGGTTTTTATGATGTGTCTTGACCGACCTTTGAAACCCTGATGCCCTGGCCAAATTTACATCCAGGACATTATTCAATCATCATTACCCCTTAACAGATTACCAGATTATATCAACACACACCACTTCTCTGTGATAGTCCAAGTATGGTGAACACTGTGGTGTGAAATGGTGGGTCTTCATACCCACCGTTCATTGACTGAACATGTTTAACAAAGTGTTGAATCTTCTCTCATGTATATCGTGATGAGTACCCAATACTGCCTATAAGTATGTCTAGCCTCTGCCTGAACTCTCAAATCATCTATAAATGATTTACCCATATGAATAACTGCTAAAAGTATACCTTATTTTAAAGTGACAGACTATAACCTATAAACATTTATAACTGAGTTATCAACATTTATAACTGCAAAAGATATCTTTTTTTTTTGAATGACAGACCTGTAAACATTTATAACTGAGTTATCAACGTTTATAACTGCTAAAATGATAACTTAGTTTAAAGTGGCTATCCACTGACCATTAACAAATGAGTTATCAACATGTATAACTGCTGAAAATATACATTTAAAGGTGCAATATGCAGAATTGCTCCGTCATTTCCTGATTGCTAAAATTTTAATAGTTTGCCTAATTTCAGTTTATGTAACAAAACAAGCAGTCATTTTGTAGAGAACCATTGCACCATCTAAACCGCTGTGAAATATATTTTCCATAACCAAAAATATTGTATTTTCAGCTGTTCGAAGCTGGTGTATAAAACCGAAAGTAAAAGACGGAAAAATGAAACGTAAGAACAGGAAGCATTGAAATAGCAGACATAAAACAGATCTACCACTTCTTAGATTTGCTTTCAATGAGAATGACAGATCTATAACCTTCAAAGAAAGTGGAAAACTTCTGGCCATTTATTAATGTTAAGTTACAAACATTTACTCCTGAGTGGCGCAGTGGTCTAAGGCACTGCATCGCAGTGCTAACTGTGCCACTAGAGATCCTGGTTCAAATCCAGGCTCTGTTGCAGCCGGCCGCGACCAGGAGACTCATGGGCGGCGCACAATTGGCCCAGCGTCGTCCAGGGTAGGGGAGGGAATGGCCGGCAGGGATGTAGCTCAGTTGATAGAGCATGGCGTTTGCAATGCCAGGGTTGTGGGTTCGATTCCCACGGGGGGCCAGTATAAAAAAAAAATATATGTATTCACTAACTGTACGTCGCTCTGGATAAGAGCGTCTGCTAAATGACTAAAATGTAAATGGATTTATAACAGTATATAGAGTAGTCTCCTCAAACATGCAATACATAGTAAGAACAATTTTAATTGCAGTGACTCAAATCTCTAGCCTATAGTGAGTAGCCTAGCTAATTCAGATAAACAGGGGTGTCTTTTTCTAGCCTTTTTAACAATAAAAATCAGAATAGAAATTGACAACAGATTAACTATTGAAAATACAACATAGGGTCTCGTGGTCCCCTTCTGTGTCTTCATCCGTTTCTTTCTTGTTAAGTATTTTCCCATCCTGGAGTCTGAGACCTTATGGGAATGTGTGGGAGAGAAGAGGAATTTATGACAATTTAGCATTGACAGTACGGTAGCTACATTACTCTACTATAGCGGTTCCCAAACTAGGGGTCACTACCCGATGTGGGGTCGCCTGATATGAAAATAGGGTCATGGGAAAATCCTGGTAAAATATACAGTATATATTTTTTTTATTAATAATATTATAAAATAGTCTTTGTCTCTCTAAATCATTGTAATGTGGTTAACCTTAAAAATCTAAATGACAATTAATTAAATCTAAAAGTAAAAATTCAACCAGAGAGCACCCTTAAATCGTGGGAAAAGGCCACACTTGACCATTGTTCTTGAACCATTTCCACAGTGAATGGCTAAGCCTGCTACGCTATGAAACCACACACTATTGAGGGGACTTTGATATTACTGGCTGCAATTGATATGATGAAAACAATGTGTGGGGACGCAGAGGCACAGAAACTCCCATCAATACCTTTGCCAGATAACACTGTGAAACTAAGAATTGATGCTATAGCTAGCAATTAGGAGGAAACTGAATGAACAACTCAAAAACTCCCCACCTTATGCTCTCCAAATGGACGTTAGCTGTGAGGGCCGAGATGACCATTCATTGACTTTTGTTCGCTACATGTCGGGGGATGCTACTCACGAAGACATATTGTTCTGTTTCACAATTCCTGAGCATGAAACAGCACAGGGGATGTTCAGTGTGCTGCGTGGCTATATTGACAAAAAACAGATTCCATGGGATTTGTAGGGCCTTCCTCTGACACCGGCTGGTATAGAGGTCCTGGATGGCAGGAAGCTTGGCCCCAGTGATGTACTGGGCCGTACACACTACCCTCTGTAGTGCCTTGCGGTCGGAGGCCGAGCAGTTGCCATACCAGGCGGTGATGCAACCAGTCAGGATGCTCTCGATGGTGCAGCTGTACAACTTTTTGAGGATCTGAGGACCCATGCCAAATCTTTTCAGTCTCTTGAGGTGGAATAGGTGTCATCCAGCAGAATTTCTGTATTCTAAAGTTAAACAAATTGCATAGAGAATTTACCTTTTCTCCTCTATCAACATTTTCTCTCTGTCTCTTTCGCGCAATCTCTTCTATCTGGACTTTGCACACTTCCATCACGTCCATCATGATTCTTTATTACACACTGTCACATGATGTCAGTGTCAACACAACATTCTGGACACGTTCCAGGTCATCTTTATTTCAAGCACGTTTCACAGATGGGCAGATCTCACAAAGTAGGGGACATTTTTCAGATACCAGCGAACCAATAATATGGCTTGGGATCTTCAGATGAGGCCTCTTCAGATGAGGCCTTAAATAAGTGTACCAATGCATCATCAGGGTTTCAAACGCGGGGAAAGATACATCATGGGAGTTGACCATTCGTCTGAAAACCAACCATTTCTGTTCATGGGACAGAGCAACAATGCATCACACCAAAAGTGAAAAAATGACTATAGTTTAACTGTGCAACCATTGAAAATAAGGTTGCATGATGATACATAAGGGTTCAATATTATATGCATTTGTAAGTGCATTTTTAAATGGTTAATAGCTGGAGGTAAATAGTGGCTCACTACTATTTTGACCAATTTGTTATAACCCATTTATTTATGGTTTATAATACATTTACAAATGATTAAATAACCGTTAGTATCGTAATTACAAACCCTTTATAAACCCTTTACAAATGGAAACTTATTGTAAAGTGTTACCGTCTTGGTATACCACAGTAAATGGGATGCCCTTTTTTCAAAAAAGTTTTGTAATAGAAAATAGTACAACTAGTGTCTTTGTGGTTGATACTTGTACTGATACTGTGTGTGTGTGTTTGTGTGTGTGTGTGTGCATGTGTGTGTGTGTGTGTGTGTGCGTGCACGTACACGCATGTGTGCGATTGTGTGTGTCTGTGTGTGTAGATAGGTGCTTTGGCGATCTCCATGGTCACCATCATCCTAGGGCTCGGACTGGGGCTTGGTTTACAACTAGAGGACTGTCGAAACAAAGGTACACTATTTCTTATTGGGGCAGTTTCTGTAAAAAAAATCACTTACACGACCACAATATGTATAATTACAATGATATGTGATATTTGATGTCACCACTTCAACAATAAAAAACAACAAAACGAAGACTACCTTGGTGTGCCAAATCAAATTGGCTCGTGGGCCGGAATTGGCCCGCGAGCCGTGAGTTGGTGACCCCTGTTCTACTGTATAAACTGCACCTGTGAAATCCACTGGAAGTGCTCAGTGTAGCTTCATTTGTTCCAGTGGTTCCCAGTACCTCCTGCAAGAACAGATGCTACGAGCCCTTCGACGATGAGACACCAGGCTGTCGCTGTGATACTCAGTGTGTCACCAACAATAACTGTTGCTATGACTTTCAGGACATCTGTCTCCAACCAAGTGAGCCATGTTTACTGTACCTATCAGTGGTTCCCAAACTATTGGGCACGCCTCCTTGGGGGGAGGAGGGGGGGTGCACGAGGGGTCGTCAGTAATAGTAGAATGCACAAGGTGCAATTTCGAAATTGCGTAGTGCATTCTCAATTCCTCTTGTCATGTTAGTCATTGCATACCTTAGAGAGCTATTTATATCTTCTCAGAAATGTCCCGAACAACTGGTCCATGTCAGCTAACATTTTTTTATTTAGCCCATAGATGTTGTTGTAATTTTTTTGTCACTCAAATATCACATGAATACACATTAGAAATGGGTAAATGTATAGAATTGCAAGAAAATGTGCTTTAAAATTGCAACATTTTCTTTGCACCTCATGACAGAATGTGTAGAATTGCATGGAATAAGCTTTAAACCTGCAAAATTCTGGAACGGGGACCCCGAGTGAAAAGTTTTGGGAACCTCTGCCCTACATCACCCACTGAATGGCCTTTTTATCCTTTTTAGATAAAACTCAACTAAATATATTCACGTCACCAAATAATTGATTAAAACACACTGTTTTGCAATGAAGGTCTACAGTAGCCTCAACAGCACTCTGTAGGGCAGCACCATGGTGTAGCCGGAGGACAGCTAGTGTCACGACTTCCACCGAGGCTGCCTCCCCTCCTTGTTCGGGCAGGCTTCGGCGTTCGTCGTCACCGGCTTACTAGCCACTGCCGCTCCATATATCATCATTCCATTTGTCTTGTCTTGTCAATTACACACACCTGGTTCTTATCCCCTCATTAGTCTGTGTATAAGTGTTCCCTCTGCCCCCCTTGTCCTTGTGGGTGATTGTTATTTGTGAGAGTAGTGTAGCTCGGTGGAGCTACTCTCCCTTTGTATTGCCGGGGTAGATATTTCCCCTGTGCCTGTATATTGTTGGTGTATCCCGTACCGTGTATTGCCAGGGTAGATAGTTTCCCCTGTGCCTGTTTTTGTGTGTCGCTATCCAGCGCATTTGTGTACGACGGAATAAACTCTGTATTCAGTGATTTACCCTCCTGCACCTGACTCCTTCTATCACACTCATCACAGCTAGCTTCCGTCCTCCTCTGGATACATTGACTTCAATACAAAACCTAGGAGGCTCATGGTTCTCACCCGCTTCCATAGACTTACACAGTAATTATGACAACTTCCAGAGGACGTCTTCCAACCTATCAGAGCTCTTGTAGCATGAACTGACATGTTGTCCACCCAATCAAAGGATCAGGGAATGAATCTACTACTGAAAGCATAAGCTACAGCTAGCTAGCACTGCAGTGCATAAAATGTGGTGAGTAGTTGACTCAACGAGAGAGAAAGACAATAGTTGAACAGTTATTAACAAATTCAATTTATTCAAAAATGAAGGAGAAGCAAGAAAGAGATAGAGATTTCCTAATTTTTTTCACTTTCAGTTGCACTTACTTAGCTAGCAAATGCAGCTAGCTAGTGTAGCCTACTCAAACACCCTGCTCAAACAGAGGGAAGCTATGTTAGCTAGCTGGCTATGACTATCCAACACAACATTGGTACTCTTCCAAGTCAAGGTAAGCCTTTGCTAACTTATTGCCATTGACTATACACTGTAACATTACTGCATGATTGTAGCGGGTTTATTAACGCGTTAGCTATATTAGCTATGTTGACTATGACGTTACGTTAGCTAATATGGTGACAACGATGTAGGCTGTGTGTAGCGGTTATGATATGGTTTGGCTTGGAAAGTTTTTTTTGCCTGGTCACATACAGCTGATGTGTTGTGCATTGAAGTCCACAAACGGAGGGAAAAGGTGAGAAGAGGAGAGCGAATAGATGCGAGAAGGAATACAACGTGGCTGCTATGAAAGTTAACTGTGTTTACACGTGATCAGGGGTGTATTCATTCCGCCGATTCTGTTGAAAAACGTTTCTTAAACGGAAGCAAACTGAAATAAACAGGGATAAACATACCTGAATTTGTCCAATAGAAACTCTCGTTTGCAACTGTTGGACTAACGATTACACCCTATATCAGCTAGATGCAGGCAAGAGTGTGCAAGGCGGTATTGAATGTGTCACTGTCTGTCCATGTTTCACTGTCTGTCACCTCAAATTTTTCACCTACGTTGTAAACTTTAATTCATAGGCTAGGTTGTAGCAACCTCATGATATTATAGGGAAAGTTCAAGTATCAAGTAGTAGCCTAAACCTATCGATGTTACATTGAACTGGGTGAATGGAATATGAATGACAGTCATCCAATATGCTGTAATAGAAATAAGGCCATTCTCATGAAAAACTAAACGTCCTCCCTCATCATAAACGGCACTGACTGTCACTGGGTGTTATGTCATGTTATATAATTTTTTATGATAGCATATTATGACCGATAGGGTTCAATTCTACGAGTTTATTCAACTAAGTAAACACCGAACTTTGATGACAGAATTGCGGCAGAACAGTGAAAGAATCCTTCATGAATGTATTTGGGGTGCACACATTGGAACCGTGTTCAAATGTCAGCTTATTATGGTTTAGCTAGCTTCACCCCTTCTAATGGTTTTATCCAACAGCTCAACAATGGGAGTGCACCAACCTGCGCTGTGGAGAAAAGAGGTTGACGGAGAGCAGGTGCCACTGCTCCGACGACTGCCTGGGTGCTGGTGACTGTTGCACCAACTTCAAACATGTCTGTCAAGGTGAGAATAACTTTATGAAATGTACACGTCAATGTACACATTACAATGTATCCATGTTTTGTGCATCCAATAACTTCAATAGCTCAAATGTTTGCATTGAGACAGATTTGGAGGAACACTTTAAGTGTTTTTTCTTCTTCAATTTTCTCATGTTTTCCCATAAATGAAGGAGAGACAGAATGGGTGGCAGATGACTGTGTGGATTTGGCGAGCCCTAAATGTCCAGCGAAGTACGTTTTAGTGCATAAAGGAATGCACAAATTTTTATAAACAAGAATGCCAAGATTATTTGAAAATGATTCAATATCTGCCTGAATTACTAAACTAAATGTAAAATGTAAAATTCTACATATTTTCTAAATGTTTCTAAAATCTATATTTTTACCCTTAGCTTTAAACTGCAGCCACTGCTCCTCATCTCACTGGACGGCTTGAGAGCAGAGTATCAACAAACATGGAGTTCCCTCATCCCCGTCCTAGACAAACTGAGTGAGTCCCATCATCTCTTTGTTAGATGGGATCAGTTTGTACCATCATCCCTATTAAACTGCCTTAACCATACCAATGGGCTTGCACATGAGGGCTAATCTTTTTCAATATCCTTATCCCTCTAACAGGAACCTGTGGCACCTCTGCACCTTACATGCAGCCTGTGTTCCCCAGCAAGACCTTCCCTAATCACTACACCATTGCCACGGTTAGCCTCATACATATCCTCACACACAACACCATTGTAATGCACTATGCCAGGTATTATTTTTTAAAGACCACAGAATTGTATATCAGCCAAAAAGGGGATATTTATTATACAGTACATCAAATATATAATAAATAAAAATATACAGCAGTTTGTGACATTACCAAAACTGTGTCATCAATTTTGACTTCTTCTTCACAAAATTTCCGCTGTGTCATCTTCAGGGCATGTACTCCGAGTCCCACGGGCTGGTTGACAACAGCATGTACGACCCTGTGTTTGACGCTTCCTTCAGTCTGTCAAATGACGAGAAGTCCAACCCCAGATGGTACCTCGGTCAGCCTGTGAGCCCCACCCCCTGCTTTCTGCTTTGCTGTTCACATTGAGACCTTTAGAGAGCTAGATAAGCTAGATGACTATACTTTTATTTGGTTTCCCACAGTCAGATTCAGGGCCTACTGCCAAACTTTTGACCATAGCATTGATCAAGTCAGCCAGACGTCAATATATATTTTTGTATTGTGTCTAGTGCATTTACCTGTGTTACTGTAGTTCACAAAATAACACAACTCTCTGCTCAACAGAATGCTTCTCTCAGTATTGAGCAGAACAATGATTCAAAAATATTATTGCTCATAACCTTGTCATTGTAGATTTGGCACACTGCCAGTTACCAAGGACTGAGAGCAGGAACCTATTTCTGGCCTGGCTCAGATGTCAAAATCAATGGCAGTTTCCCAGACATCAACGTAGACTACGACGGGTAATATAGTCAGGAATAAATTATATTGTTTCTCATATATGAATAGGCCGCTTTATTGCCCTTGGATGATAAGAGCTGTCCTTTTATATCGTCATGTCTTTTATTTAATTTCAGCAAAATACCTTTTGAGGAGAGGGTCTTCACGCTCCTGAAGTGGCTACAGTTGCCAGATAATGAGAGGTAAATCCCCATTTAAGGCATCCCAGCTACTAGCAAGCCTTTATCAGAGGCCTTCAAGCCTAAAGTGCATTGTGTATAATGTCATGGTGTATAACAATTGTTGTCCCTGCAGGCCAGATTTCTTCACATTGTACCTCGAGGAGCCGGACAAGTCGGGGCACAGCTTTGGTCCTGTCAGTGGAGGGGTAAGGTCAATAGGAAAACAACCAGGATGCATCTTATTAGTCTGAAGTCACTTCATATGCAATTAACTGAAATACCTTGACAGGTGAAGGCAAACAACAGGTTTCTGTCCACCATATTGCTTTCTGCTGCCCTGTGTTCTCAGATCAGTGCATATTAAGGGAAGGAGAAGAGGTCCTCTGTGGTCCTCTGTAGCTCAATTGGTAGAGCATGGCGCTTGTAACGCCAGGGTAGTGGGTTCGATCCCCGGGACCACCCATACGTAAAAATGTATGCGCACATGACTGTAAGTCACTTTGGATAAAAGCGTCTGCTAAATGGCATATTATTAAGAGGTGAGGAAGTGACTGCAGACTATTGAAATACCTCTGGTGCAACAACCTGCAGGTTCAGGATTGTTAAGCTTATACTGTATCTGAAACAATAGTTTTATCTACCATTCGAGAGCTTGGGACAAAAAAGTTATATCTGCATTTTTGTAAAAATGTTGTTATTGAAAAAGCCTTGTACTGTTCAATGTTCTCTACCTATAAAGTACACTAAATGACCCAATTCATGTTGTTAAGTTCAAAAGAATACAATATAAAAATTGCTGACACTATTCAAACCAATGAGGGTTCGGAACTTTAAAGCCAATTTATCTCAGAATAATCTTTTTTCTGATAGAACCTTATAGTCCCAAGCTCTCGCATTGATAAGATACACTTCAGACGCTCTGAAGTAATTTGATAGAATGGTCCATAAATCTTTATTAATAAAATAACCAGTGCTTAACTTAGGCAGGAGCTCACCGGAGCTGAGTACCGGCACCTCAAATGCTCTACTGCTTGAGCTCCTGCACCTCTTACAGAATATTAGAATTAAAACTACTGCCGAGTTCCTGCACCTAAATATAAACAGTACCGGCACACAAAATGAGTACTGGCACCTATTTCAGTCAAGCATTAAGGCTGCAGCCTCAAAGGTGTTGTTGATTCCCATCAAGGACAAAACAGAAAAAGGTCATGATGTACTGCTTTGTTGTTATGTAATGTAATCCAAAAAGGCTCACTTCTTGTGTTTAGGTCAGGCATGTTTCGAAACGACCCTTTGTTTTTGTTCTCGTAACTGCTTTTAACATGCTTTTATAGCACCACAATCAACCCCTGACACAACTCTCATTTATACAACACATAACATGCTGTATACAACACACATGGCTTACATTCTATGCTGAATGCCAAAAGGTGAAAGTTCAATGTCTTGATCACATGTGAACGAATGATGCCGTTGACAATTATGTTGGGTATACTTTTACTCTCCATTGAAAAGGCCCCTTCAAATCAGTTGCCTTATAAATGCAAACATATTGTTAAATCATCATGATGCAAAGTTATGATCTAATGACATTTACGTAGTAACCCCAAGAGAAAATTACATCGATTTTTTTATTTATAGAACTCAACATTTGTTTTTATGTAATCACGCATAAATCACAATTAAGTGTGTTTACCTTTTGTAAATAGACTGGTACTTAACAATAATCAAGGTTTGATTATGTTGAGGGTGCCATTAGCCTTGATCAATGAAGTCATTGAAGACTACAGTCATAGATATAACAGTCTCACAAGTTTCTCACTGTATTTCAGTTGATCGAGGCTCTCACAGGAGTGGACAAGGTCATTGGTCAACTGATGAACGGACTCAAACAGCTGAACCTGCATCAGTGTCTCAACATCATCATCGTAGCTGACCATGGTAGGAGGCTAATAAATCAAAGGAATCAAATACATTCATGACCCTTTACCTCCACAAATCTGACATCTGGACAGCAAACTGACCTATTTTCCTACAGACCTAGTATATCTAAAAATGTAAATCATTTAGAATAATATAGAATTAGACTACAAACATGAAAAAATAGTAAGCATTGTTGTATTAGTGTTGTGGCTTATATTTCAATGTTATACAAAGAAGTTTGTGTGGAAACTTCAGCAAAAACTTTATTGAGCTACAACAACAGGTATGGAGGACACAAGTTGTGACAGGAAGGAAGTCCTCCAGGATCTACTCCAGGTGGAAAATGTTCGTGATCTGTATGTCTACGAGGGACCTTTTGGGAGAATTAGATCCAATGACAAAAACCAACCCTGTGAGTGTAAGAACAAACATATAGAAAATGTACCCTTTCTTTGTAATCGCAATAAAAATGACTTATTCCTGTTGTTTCCTTTGACAGTGGACTCGGCCGGACTTGTAGCCAACATGACGGTGAGTAAGAAGCTACGATGGATCGTTCACCTTGATTTAAACTAGCCGTGACCACCATATTGACTGGAAATTCTCCAATTGAGGAATAATCTAATGTTGAGGCAAACTGAAGATGTTCACAAGGGGTTTGTATTCAGTCCCATCATGTTTAGTCTGGACAAAGAGCCAATCTGAAAATATTGTTTTGTCCCTAATACTGTATCTGTTATAGAAACCTACTGATTGATAAAAAATATTCCCTGTTGTTTTATTGGGATTCCAGTGCAAGAAGAACGATCAGAAGGTCAAGCCTTACCTGAAAAACCATCTGCCCAAGCGGTTCCACTACGCAAACAGTAGACGCATTGAGGACGTCAGCGTGATAGTCAATCCAGGATGGCTGTTGGAGAGGTACCGATTTAAGAAACTCCACCCTACTTTATAAACATAACCCTGGTGTGGATTTTAGTAGGGCATGATGTAGCAAAATGTTGGCTTCTTACATATTTCTGTGTTATGTTATAGATACCCAGGGTCTTTGACCTTCTGTGCAGGTGGAGCTCATGGGTATGACAATGATGATGCCGGTATGCATGTGAGTTGGAAGGAGATAAGCATATGTTTGATCTTAAATCAAGCTTCGCTTTCCATTTACTCAAATAAATCAGTTAGCGAATGAGTACAACTTGATTGGTTAAAAAAAATATGCTGAACAAAAATATAAACGCAACATGCAACAATTTCAACGATTTTACTGAGTTACAGATCATATAAGGAAAGCAGTCAATTGAAATAAATTCATTAGGCCCTAATCTATAGATTTCACATGACTAGGCAGGGGCGCAGCCATGGGTGGGTGGGCCTAGGAGGGCATAGGCCAACCCACTTGGGAAGCCAGTCCCACCCATTAGGGAGCCAGGCCCAGCCAATCAGAATGAGTTTTTCCCCATAAAAGGGCTTTATCACAGATAGAAATACTCCTCCGTTTCATCAGCTGTTCGAGTGGCTGGTCTCGAAACAATCCTGTAGGGGAAGAAGCTAGATGTGGAGGTCCTGGGCTGGCGTAGTTACACGTGGTCGGCAGTTGTGAAGCTGGTTGGATGTACTGCCAAATTATCTAAAACGACGTTGGAGGCGGCTTATGGTAGAGAAATTAACATTAAATTCTCTGGCAACAGCTCTGGTGTGCACATTTTAGAGTGGCCTTTTATTGTCCCCAGCACAAGGTGCACCTGTGTAATGATCATGCTGTTTAAACCAGCTTATTGATGTGACACACCTGTCAGGTGGATGGATTATTTTGGTAAAGGAGAAATGCTCACTAACTGTGATGGAAAAACAATTTTTGCAAAACATTTGAGAGAAATAAGCTTTTTGTGCGCATGGAACATTTCTGGGATCTTTTATTTAAGCTCATGAAACATGGGACCAACACTTTACATGTTGCGTTTATATTTTTGTTCAGTATATAAATCATTGATATACAGTACCAGTCAAAAGTTTGGACACACCTACTCATTCAAGGGTTTTTCTTTATCTTTACTCATTTCTACATTGTAGAATAATAGTGAAGACATCAAAAATATGAAATAACACATATGGAATCATGTAGTAACCAAAAAAGTGTTAAACAAATCAAAATATATTTTATATATGAGATTCTTCAAATAGCCACCCTTTGCCTTGATGACAGCTTTGCACACTCTTGTCATTCTCTCAACCAGCTTCACCTGGAAAGCTTTTCTAACAGTCTTGAAGAAGTTCCCACATATGCTGAGCACTTATTGGCTGCTTTTCCTTCACTCTGCCGTCCGATTCATCCCAAACCATCTCAATTGGGTTGAGGTTGGGGGATTGTCGAGAACAGGTCCTCTGATGCAGCACTCCATCACTCTCCTTCTTGGTAAAATAGCCCTTACACAGCCTGGAGGTTTGTTGGGTCATTGTCCTGTTGAAAAACAAAGCCTAAACCAGATGGGATGGCATATCGCTGCAGAATGCTGTGGTAGCCATGCTGGTTAAGTGTGCCTTGAATTCTTTGTCACCGGCAAAGCACCCCCACACCCCCACACCATAACACCTCCTCTTCCATGCTTTACGGTGCGAACTACACATGCGGAGATCATCTGTTCACCCACACCACGTCTCACAAAAATCACAAATTTGGACTCCAGACCAAAGGACAAATTTCCAGCGGTCTAATGTCCATTGCTCGTGTTTCTTGGCCTAAGCAGGTCTCTTTTTCTTATTGGTGTCCTTTAGTAGTGGTTTCTTTGCAGCAATTTGACCATGAAGGCCTGATTCACATAGTCCCCTCTGAACAGTTGATGTTGAGATGTGTCTGTGACTTGAACTCTGTGAAGCATTTATTTGGGCTGCAATTTCTGAGGCTGGTAACTCTAATGAACTTATCCTCTCAGCAGAGGTAACTCTGGGTCTTCCATTCCTCTGGCGGTCCTCATGAGAGCCAGTTTCATCACAGCGGTGATGGTTTTTGCCAATGCACTTGAACTTTCAAAGTTCTTTACATTTTCTGTATTGACTGACCTACATGTCTTAAAGTAATGATGGACTGTAATTTCTCTTTGCTTATTTGAGCTGTTCTTGCCATAATATGGACTTGGTCTTTTACCAAATAGGGCTATCTTCTGTATACCTTGTCACAACACAACTGATTGTCTCAAAAGCTTTAAGAAGGAAAGAAATTCCACACATTAACTTTTAAGATGCACACCTGTTAATTGAAATGCATTCCAGCTGGTTGAGAGAATGCCAAGAGTGTGCAAAGCTGTCATCAAGGCAAAGGGTGGCTATTTGAAGAATCTCAAATATAAAATATATTTTGATTTGTTTAACACTTTTTTGGTTACTACATGATTCCATATGTGTTATTTCATAGTTTTGATGTCTTCACTATTATTCTACAATTTAAAAAACTGTAAAAATATGAATGAGTAGGTGTGTCCAAACTTTTGACTGGTAGTGTATATACCCACATCTTTGCACTGAGTGTACAAAACATTAAGAACATCTGCTCATTCCATTACATAGACTGACCAGGTGAATCCAGGTGAAATCTATGATCTCTTATTGATGTCCCTTGTTAAATCCACTTCTGTCAGTGTAGCTGAAGGGGAGGAGACGGGTTAAAGAAGCATTTTTAAGCATTGATACAATTGAGTCATGGATTGTGTTTGTGGGCCATTCAGGGGGTGAATGTGCAAGACAAAATATGAAAGTACTTTTGAACAGGATATGGTAGTAGGTGCCAGGCACACCGGTTTGTGTCAAGAACTGCAATGCTGCTGTTTTTTTCACGCTCAGCAGTTTCCTCTGTGTATCAAGAATGGTTCACCACCCAAAGAACATCCAGCCAACTTGACACAACTGTGGGAAGCTTCGTAGTCAACACGGGCCAGCGTCTCTATGGAACGCTTTCGACACCTTGTAGAGTCCATGCCACTACGAGGCTGTTCTGAGGGCAAAAGGGGGTGCAACTCAATAGTAGGAAGGTGTTCCTAATCATTTCTACACTCAGTGTATATTGATATTTTTGTATTTAGGAGATGGAAAATGTATGACTAAGACCCTCTTTATTCTCCTTAGGCCATGTTCTTAAGCTATGGACCCAAGTTTCATTATAAAACCGAAATAGAACCATTCTCCAACATTGAGCTCTACAATCTCATGTGTGGTAAGTAGCAGTAAATATAGCAGTACATTACAGGGTCAGTTGTCTGTGTTATCCAATAAATTGTTTATGTCATTCCATCATTAAGTGGCAGAATTTGTTGTGAAAGGGTTGGGTTTTGATTAATAAATACGTTGTAAGTGGGGCGGGGGCTTGACCATTCACTGGCCAATCAACGTGTTCCATGGCTTAATACTGCATGCGGTTGTCTCAAGTTGTGTATGTTATTGATGGTCTTTTGTTGTTATCAACTCCAATTCGGCTGGGGGGCACGGAATATTCTCGTCCTAATCCGTTTATGAAATAGCATAGGCTACACTAATTAATAATAGCAACAACAATATACATCCAGTTTTGATAAATATGTTTGGAGTGTTGGCAGTCAACATTGTTGTAATTGTTTCACCTATAGGCCTCTACATGTCTTTACGCATCGCATTTGTCCTGAAATAAAAAATACTAGGCTCCCCTTTAAATGTATTTTAGGCTATATTGTAAGGGTTGGGGTGAGGTGTGACCCAGGTGCGGTGCAGGATATACAGTAGGCAGTATGCAGAGATGGTGAAACAAGGATCTTTACTGGTGGTCCCGAAGCCAAAATAAAAAATAACGGACTTATCACGATAAAAGAAAGGCGGAGCAAATAAGTCTCCAAAAACCGGCTGACAGACAAAATACGAAATACTACCTAAGACTGAAACAAATAACGAAACAGGGAGAACGCTTCTCAAGTACCTGTACATAGGTCTCCGATCAGACATTGAGTAGTACTGCTGGACATAGAGAAACTAGCAGAGAAAACTGAGTAAGGGAACACAGGGAAGTGAGGTGAACAGATAGACACAGGTGACACCAATAGGATGATGATTAGTCCAGACTGTGAGTGTGCCTAAGGTTGTCGGAGGATGACACCTAGTGGGTCGCTCCGGAATTGCGACCCCCTCCTGTAACACTATATGTGAGGCTCGTTCGCAATAAGCAAGATATAAGCCTAACCACCATTGATATTGCATTATAGGACTGAATATTTTGAATAGGTTTGGAGGAGCGCATCTTTGGTAACCCCACTAACCGGACAATAGGCGCTCTTTGTAAATGGGGACAGATACAAGTGAAATGGAGTATGCCGGTAGGCCTATATTAATTGTGAATAATGCAAAAGGATGACAGCAAAAGCCTCTTGAGAAGACCACTTAGAAACCTTTTATGGATAGGCTCCTTGGCTAATGCATGGCCAGGATAAGGAAGACACTTGACGCATTGCTGTTGAACCAGTTTTCGTTATAGTAGGGTAAGAGTAGCCTACTGAGGGTTTGGTTTTTAATCGAATGAAATGGAAAACAAGTTAATGTTACAGGAAAATAACTTAAATGTTTCTAAATACAAGGGCATTATCTCATCTCTCGTTCCATGATGGGCATATCGACATGTATTCTACATGGAGGGGGTTTTATACACATTCAAAATAATAACAGGAGCTGGCTAAAATGATGTACAATACATATATACAAAAGGGGATGTCTGCTTACTGTTTTACTGCTCCCTTGATCTTTTTAATAAACCTTTGGTGATAAAGATTTATTTCAAAACGGTCTCATGAGCCAACCCTTTATTGATAGTCTTGGCTACTTAGTGAATGCATTGGGCAGGATAAAAAAAAAAAATCTTCATTGAGGATATGCTTGGTTTTTAATCAAATGAAACAAAATGGTAAAAAAAATACATTAGTTTTGGGGGTTTCTAAATAGGAGGTTCACCGCACAAAAAAGCACATCTCTCTTGTTCCATTGGCATTTGGGCACTATGCATCACGTCTGAATAGACTACACTTCCGCTGTCAAAATCCATGCCATAACCAACCTTGTTACTGCCAAGTATAGCTTTTGGTGAGTCTTAAATCTCCCTATTTGTGCTAAATGAAATTGTCACTTTTGCGCTAGTTTTTAAGGACACACTTCAAATATTGCCAACCCTCCCACCTCAGCACAAGCGAGCTGATGTAAGACAGGAAAATTGCTGATCCTGGCGCAAGGGGTGGAAAATGCCAGAGCTACAGTTCTTACATGTCAAAATTTGACACTTGCGCCGCTTTAGCGCCAGCCGAAAATAGATCTCCTAGTATTTGAACACTGCATTGTTGAGAAAGAGCTTGTAAGGAAGCATTTCGCTGGACTGTTTTACAACTGTTGTATCCGGTACAAACGACAAATAAGCTTTAATTTGATTTGATCTCAAACATGTATAGTATGTGCATTGTAAAATTGTCCATGTGAAACCCTTTCAGATGTGTTGGGGATCTCCCCATCCCAGAACAATGGAAGCCACGGCAGTATGAACCATCTCCTGAGGACTCCCCGGCACATTCCCATACACCCCGCAGAGCAGACAACCCCTGGGCAGTGCCCTCTGGTGATCCTTGAACCCGTAGATGCCCTGAACCTGCAAATGCCCCTCCCTGGTAGTACCCCTTGCTTACATTGAATATAGCAAACGTTAGGAACACCTTCCTAATATGGAGATGCACCCCCTTTTGCCCTCAGAACAGCCTCAATTCGACAAGGCATGTTCATCTAAAATGTAATCTATGTAATCCCCAACAGTAATGATTTATCATTAGAGGACCATAAACAATATTTACTAATGCTGCATACGCCAAGAAAGGTTAAAAACTCACCTTTCTGGTCAAATGTTTTATAAATTGCTGACAAGCGCAAGTACACAGTACAAATTTGATACAAATATGAAAATATGAAATATGTTATATGACGTATTTCCTATTCAATAAAACTGTATGAATAAGGCTTGAAATGACTTATATGCTTTCCAAATATAGTATAATCAAATTATAAAACCAATAACTATAAGATTTCACCTTCCCTATAACTGTAAAATACATATTTCTATCACACAGAGCTCTATAGCTTGGCTTCTTGAAGTTGTTAGGAACTCGCCTTTCATCTAATATTAATCTTGTCCATCTATGACAACCAGAAAGTGTCTTTTGTTCTAAATTATTTTAGATTAATGACTATAAATCAATCTCTGAATGTGCTATAGCTCCTGCTGCGCTACGATGTAAGGATTGCTGACACGTGCTTTGTCAGTGGCTGTGAAGTAGGGTTTAGCCAGGAGTTGATGGACAGTCAGAAGAGCAAATGAAATGGTAGGAGGGACAGCCCAGCTTCAAGTGGTTTCAGATTTCACATCCTACTACTGTATACTGCTGTGTCCGTGGGAAACAGGGCTATCTCTCAATGCAAACCATTTCGATCTACGTTGTCCACAGATCGATTTATAAGCAAAAATGTTTGTCAGAACAACTGAAAAAGGTTGAACTTTCACCGGCTGCAGGGCCTGACTTCATGGCAACCCCCTTGCACGTATCAAGTGAAGGAGCCTTTAGGATTAGATACAGCACAGGGTTTTCTTCTCCCATGATAAGACCAGGTGGTAGAGTTTCACTTGGTAGGCCTCCTGTTGACCCACTGTTGGCTGGTGGCACATGTACTGTCTCAACTCTGGTGGTGTTGTCCACACATTAACTGTCACAGAAAATTATCTGTTATTGATATTTTATCCTTGAATAGACTTTGAAGCAGTGGCATAACCATACATTTGTTGGTGGGTGGGCCTACAGAAACTCAATCTGAGTGGGTCGGCCTGGCTCCCTAGTGGGTGGCCCACCCATGCCTACACCGCTGCTTTGAAGTTACAGTATACACCTCTTAATACTATAGTGATAAGAAGCTGGTATAATACAGTACAGTATATTAAGCACATATTAATTACCCCAACCATAGAATGTCTCTGTCTCCAATGTTGTTGATATTAATTAAAATATCAACATTGTCAGAGTCTTATCTGTAACAGCATCATATCTTGTTTCTTTCCAGGGTGGAACTAATCCAAATAGTCGTCTGAATCTGACAGCTGCTGAAGGTAAAGATTATGTGAGAGACATTGTGGACAGATTATTGTCGGAATATTGTCATGATTAACAATCAATTATGATACCAGATCGTACATTGAGTTTAGGAAGAATACGTAATTATAAACCGGTTGTTTTGAGCCCTGAATGCTGATTGGCTGAAAGCCGTGGTATACCACGGGTATGAACAAAACATATTTTTTACTGTTTTAATTACATCGGTAACCAGTTTACAATAGCAATAAGGCACCTCAGGGGTTTGTGGTATACCGTAAAACTTCAATTAATCGCAGTCTCAAATAGTCACCTGTCCCTTTTAATAACCGGGCAAGGGCACACATTTCAGCAAATAAACGCCTGTTTCAAATAAACGCCCTGTCTAATTGAATTGTTTACGAGGTTACTATGAATTACCATGAATTGTTTACAAGATTTTAATGTTTGATTTGTTAAATAAATAATTCAGTAATGACTTGAAAAAACTATGGCAATAATCCGTTTTTATAGCCAGTAAGAAACTGCTAGCCATTGACTGCTAACAGCTGAACACTGCTAGCTAACAGGCAAGCACAAAAGTAGTCAACAACTTCAGGAGTACAGACCCCAAGAAATCGTCAGATCGCCCTCTAGTGGTGAAAGTAAGACCTGCCGTAAATGAACAGTCAAATAGGAAAATAGTTATTCTGTCAAGAAACGTGACACAGTGTGTAAATGATAAGACGTTAGTGCAGGAAATGAAGAAATTGATTAAAATGCTGGATGTGAACGCTGGAATTAAACAATTAACTATGCAAATGAGCAAAAGCTGAGAGCATTAAGGAAATAGACACCTGGCTCAAATAGCGCCTGTTGTGTCCAGTGTTTTTAGCAAATAAACGCCTGGGCTATTAATTTAAGTTTTACATTATGGCCAATATACCACGGCTAATAGCTGTATACAGGCACTCCGCGTTGCATGGATGTCAACCCCAGCACATGTTCATGTCATTGTTACCGATCAACTGCATTACAGTTCAAAATGATTTTGACTACCACCACCGATTTCTGTATGCTAGTTATGTTAACCAGCTTATACAAATGGAATTTAGCATTTAGCAGTCACTTCTTAACCTGAAAAGGGACAACTTCTACATGTTATGCAGCGAAAACAGCCAAATATATCAAAATCAACTTAAGGAACCACATACAATACATCAATCATGACGAATTTAAAGAATATCCACTTTGTTAGATCAGATTTGTTGAATGTGTGCCAATCTCGTCAATGCGATTGCATCCCATTGACTCCTTTACCGCATCTATGGCATTGTTGAATACCCGTTCCTGATTGCCTTGAAGGGCATTCTAGAGTGTGCATTATTTAATGTGTTAATGCCCGAGAAGCCGGTGTTTGGAGGATATATTGGCACGGGTGTTGTTAGGCCCGTGCCAATATATCCTCCAAACACCGTCTTCGAGGGCATTATCACTTTTATACAATGGGTTACCAACATATTCAAATAATGATTGACATATTTTCATTAAAAACGTTATTTTGATTAATTTATCCTTCCACAAGATATAGTCCCGACACAAATCTAGGGTTGTTACCCAAGCTGGCTGCCGTTTGTTCTATCGGTTCGGTTGCCAGAAACGCGACCCAGTCGTTCAGTCTTTTTGTTCTGTATCAATGGACGAGTCCCAGTCATTCATTCTAAATGTTCCATTGCCATACTGGCTGGTAACGTTCTTATCCCTTGCTTGCTAGCTACCAACTACGGCTAACTTAAAGTCAAGTCAAAAGTGCAGCCAGGGGCCTCCCGAGTGGCGCAGTAAATAAATAATTTAAATAATTCAGTAATGACTCGAAAAAACTATGGCAATAATCCGTTTTTATAGCCAGTAAGAAACTGCTAGCCATTGGCTGCTAACAGCTGAACACTGCTAGCTAACTGGCAAGCACAAAAGTAGTCAACAACTTCAGGAGTACAGACCCCAAGAAATCGTCAGATCGCCCTCTAGTGGTGAAAGTAAGACCTGCCGTAAATGAACAGTCAAATAGGAAAATAGTTATTCTGTCAAGGATTTTTTGTTTTTTTATAGAGCCATACTAAGACAAAAGAAACGTGACACAGTGTGTAAATCAGGGGTGTCAAACGTACGGCCCGCGGGCCGGATCAGGCCCGCAAACGGGTTTAATCCGGCCCGCGAGATGATTTAGAAAAAATAAAATAAAATAAAAATTTTTTTTTTTTTTTTTTTTTTAAGTATAAAAATGCGCTGCAATTTTTCAATAAAATAAACTGCTGTTCCAATTGCGTCCACTGGATGGCGCAATAGCAATTGTGTTAAGCAAGCAAACTGTTTATACCGGGGCAGAGCAAGTAGGTCAAGCACGTGCAGCCAATGAGCTACTTTGTTTTGCCCGCGATATTTATTACGGCTTCTACTTTTAACATTATGTGCTTTGGCACCCTCATTGCCCCAATATGTCTCTGTCAAAAAAGAGAAAAGTGGACGCAGAGTGTTCCAAGAAAAATTGTCATCCTATTTAATCACGGAATTGAATGGGAAAGCTGTATGTTTGGTGTGTTCAGAGCATGTTGCAGTGCTGAAAGAATATAACCTTCGTCGCCACTATGTGAGTCTTCATGCCGACAAATATGACAACTTTCAAGGACAGCGGAGATGAGAGAAGGTGAATGAACTGTTGGCGGGTCTGAAGAAACAGCAGTCTGTGTTTACTCACAGCCGAGACATCAGTGACGCTGCAGTGAAAGCTAGCTACCTCATTGCTAATGAAATCGCAGTGGCTTCAAAACCATTTAGTGAGGGTGAATTTGTAAAAACATGCATGATGAAGGCAGCGGAGATTGTGTGCCCTGAAAAGCGGCAGGCTTTTGCAAATATCAGCCTGACAAGAAACACAGTTGCAGACAGTATTTCCGATCTTTCAGTGGATTTGGACAGCCAGTTGAAGCAAAAAGTAAAGTCATTTATTGCGTTTTCGGTTGCATTTGATGAAAGCACGGACATTACAGATGTTGCACAACTGGCCATTTTTTCATCCGCGGAGTTGATGACACATTGACGGTCACCGAGGAGTTCGTGGAGTTCGTGCTGATGACAGATACAACGACAGCAGCTGATATTTTTACCGCACTCGTCGGCGCGCTGGACAGGGTCGGAGTGGACTGGTCCCGCGCTGTCAGCCTGGCTACAGATGGTGCGCCCTCAATGATCGGGAAAAAAGCAGGCGTTGTGACAAAGTTCAGAGAGAAAGTGCAATCTGCAAATGGAGGACGTGATTTTTTGACTTTTCACTGTATTTTGCACCAGGAGGCTTTGTGTTGCAAGTAATTAAAGATGGATAACGTCATGAAGGTGGTCATCCAAACTGTTAATTTCATCCGATCCAGAAGCCTGAATCACCGTCAGTTTGACAGCCTTCTCAGAGAGAAAGACCACATCTATGGCCTGCCATACCACACTGAGGTAAGATGGTTAAGCCGAGGTGCTGTGCTGAGGCGTTTCTTTGATTTACGATAAGAAATTGAACAGTTCATGGAAGAAAAGGGCAAACCAGTGTTAGAATTTCATTCCGCAGAATGGATGCCGGACCTTGCATTTATGGTGGATGTTACAGAGCACCTGAATAACTTGAACAAACAGCTGCAAGGGCGCAACAAAGTTGTCACACAGTATTATGACAGCATACGTTCTTTCAAGTTGAAGCTGTCATTGTGGGAGACGCAACTTGCCGGTGGTGATGCAGCTCACTTCCCCTGTCTGAAAAATGTGTGCGCGACCCAACATGTGGCAGACATGAAGCGGTTCAAAGATAAAATAACTGGACTGTTACGGGAGTTTGAGCAACGCTTTCAGATTTATGTTTATATGTTTTTATGTTGATGTGCTATTGTTTTTAATTGATTTCATTTTATTTGTATATTTAACCTATTCTTGACTCTGTGGTTCTTGCACTTGTTTGGGGAACAGGATTTCATTATTTTTATCTACATTTCTGCCTGAGAAATGACACCCTGATATAGTTCTGTGATATACTTCTGTGAATCACTGAGGCATTGTGTGTTTGTGTGTTCTTTGTCCTCAGAACTTTCAAATAACTTGAGGTGTTTTATGATTAATAGTGATGTTGTGCTTTTGGACACTGTCCTCAGGCTCCAGCTTTATGTTTATATGTTTTTATGTTGATGTGCTATTGTTTTTAATTGATTTTATTTTATTTGTATATATAACCTATTCTTGACTCTGTGGTTCTTGCACTTGTTTGGGGAACAGGATTTCATTATTTTTATCTACATTTCTGCCTGAGAAATGACACCCTGATATAGTTCTGTGATCTGTGAAACAGTTCTGTTAATCACTGAGGCATTGTGTGTTTGTGTGTTCTTTTTCTTTAGAATTTTCAAATAAACTTGACGTGTTTTATGATTAATAGTGATGTTGTGCTTGTACTATTTTGGACACACTGTCCTCAGGCTCCAGCTTTATGTTGTATGTTGATCGTATTAAAACAAAGAAAACAATCTGAAGTTGTTGTTTTTAAGTTATATATACCATGATTTTTCCGTTCCGGCCCACTTGGGAATAGATTTTCCTCCATGTGGCCCCTGAGCTAAAATGAGTTTGACACCCCTGGTGTAAATGATAAGACGTTAGTGCAGGAAATGAAGAAATTGATTAAAATGCTGGATGTGAACGCTGGAATTAAACAATTAACTATGCAAATGAGCAAAAGCTGAGAGCATTAAGGAAATAGACACCTGGCTCAAATAGCGCCTGTTGTGTCCAGTGTTTTAAGCAAATAAACACCCGGGCTATTCATTTAAGTTTTACATTATGGCCAATATACCACGGCTAATAGCTGTATACAGGCACTCCGCGTTGCATGGATGTCAACCCCAGCACATGTTCATGTCATTGTTACCGATCAACTGCATTACAGTTCAAAATGATTTTGACTACCACCACCGATTTCTGTATGCTAGTTATGTTAACCAGCTTATATAAATGGAATTTAGCATTTAGCAGTCACTTCTTAACCTGAAAAGGGACAACTTCTACATGTTATGCAGCGAAAACAGCCAAATATATCAAAATCAACTTAAGGAACCACATACAATACATCAATCATGACGAATTTAAAGAATATCCACTTTGTTAGATCAGATTTGTTGAATGTGTGCCAATCTCGTCAATGCGATTGCATCCCATTGACTCCTTTACCGCATCTATGGCATTGTTGAATACCCGTTCCTGATTGCCTTGAAGGGCATTCTAGAGTGTGCATTATTTAAGTGTTAATGCCCGAGAAGCCGGTGTTTGGAGGATATATTGGCACGGGTGTTGTTAGGCCCGTGCCAATATATGCCCTTGAGCAAGGCACTTAACCCTAGTTGCTCCTGTAAGTCGCTCTGGATAAGAGCGTCTGCTAAATGACCAAAAAATAATAATAATAATAATAATAATATCCTCCAAACACCGTCTTCGAGGGCATTATCACTTTTATACAATGGGTTACCAACATATTCAAATAATGATTGACATATTTTCATTAAAAACGTTATTTTGATTAATTTATCCTCCACAAGATATAGTCCCGACACAAATCTAGGGTTGTTACCCAAGCTGGCTGCTCGTTCGTTCTATCGGTTCGGTTGCCAGAAACGCGACCCAGTCGTTCAGTCTTTTTGTTCTGTATCAATGGACGAGTCCCAGTCATTCGTTCTAAATGTTCCATTGCCATACTGGCTGGTAACGTTATTTTCCCTTGCTTACTAGCTAGCCAACTACGGCTAACTTAAAGTCAAGTCAAAAAGTGCAGCCAGGGGCCTCCCGAGTGGCGCAGTGGTCTAAGGCTGCGTTACTACATATCCGGGTTCGATACTGGGCTGTGTCGCAGCCGGCCGCGACCGGGAGACCCATGAGGTGATGCACAATTGGCCCAGCGTCGTCCGGGTTAGGGGAGGGTTTGTCCGGCCGGGTTGTCCTTGTCCCATCGCGCTCTAGCGACACCTGTGGCATCGCGCTCTAGCGACTCCTGTGGCGGGCCGGGCGCATGCACGCTGACACAGTCGCCATTGGTGCGGTGGCTTCCGGGTTAAGCATGCATTGTGTCAAGAAGCAGTGCGGCTTGGCGGGGTTGTGTCGGAGGACGCACGGCTCTCGACCTTCGCCTCTCCCAAGTCCGTACGGGAGATGCAGCGATGGGACAAGATTGTAACTACCAATTGGATATGACAAAAATGGGGTAAAAAAAGTAAAAGCAGCCAGAATAACAGCAAAGTACCTGCATTTGTTTAAGCTGTTTTCTAGTGACATTTATTTGGATACATTTATAACAATGAGCTAATGAGTCGCAATTTTGCCTGGCATAGAAAATGTGCTCACTCGTCAGGACACTGTTGTTCAGAAGAGCTAGCCAACAACACAGGTAACACAATCACTTCAAACTGAAGCTGGAAAGACTGAAAACTAGCTGCACTTAATTTAGTGTGACCTTTTTTCAATAGACATTTCTATGTATATAGCCATAAAAATGATGCCAGTTGATTCATGATTTCGACTGGCTGAGAAACGCTGCCTGCCTGTCAGTCTTGTCCCGACTTGTTCATTACTATGGGACAGCTGGAGATCGAATTTGAATATTGAAACAATGTTGCAAATGTCGGAGAGACAGACAGCAAGGTATATACAAATCTCCGCTGTTGAAAACTAAATGTTAGTCTAAAAGAAATGTGAGGTAATGTCTAGATGCTTTTTATAGTGGAGATCAATTTATAAATTGCTTGGCTGGGCTGATGAGACAGTGGATTGCGCAGTCAGATGTAACAGAGTAAATAGGCATTTTAACCTCATAGATTTAGCCGGTGGTAACTTGTGGAATAGACACTGGCTGGAGTGCGGTTTTAACCAATCAGCATTCAGGATTAGAACCACCCCATTGTATAATTCCCTGTACGCACAGTATATCAGCACTGGTAGAATTCAATGGATATAATTCAATCTTGCATGTTCAATGTTTGAGCTGCTTTTGAAATCAAAAGTCAAATTGAAACATTATTGGCATGGCTGATTTCGAATTTCAAAAATAGCAAGCTAGGACTGATGGTTTGGCTAGCTAAACTAGCAAGTCTGTTTGCTTGGTTACCAAGGCAACTACTACAGCTATCTAGTGAACTTGATAGCAAGGGATAACGAACATGGGACTCTATGCACTCTTTGGAAAATAATGCAACTCCGTGGAAGGTAAGTTCCACTCTGCTAGTGCGTCGTGGAACACACCTTCCACATGTTTATAATTTTCCATAGAATGCATAGATCCCCTTGTTGATTATCCCTTACATAGTGCCAACAATAGCTTACTGCTCCTCCAAAACAAATTGTTCAAGTCAAACAAAATGAATGTGTTGATATGTACAGCCTATATTATGCTGTATCTTAGCAGTCTTGTGCAATATAAAACTAAAAAACATTTATAGCTGCAATATGTAACTTTTTGGCCAACCCAACCTAATTCACATTGAATTTTGAGTTATAGATCGGTCCTTCTCATTGAAAGCAAGTCTAAGAAGCGTTAGATATGTTCTATGTGCACTATTTCTAATCTTCCCATGCTTAAGTTTTGTTTTTGCGTCTTTTACTTTAGGCTTTGTACACAAGCTTCAAACATACAATAATACAATATGTATGGTTATGGGAAATTCACTGCTGTTTATATGGTACAATGATTGTTTTGTTACATAAACTGAAACGATTAGAATTTTTGTGTGATTTCTGCATAGTGCATCTTTATCTGACATTTGTCTGTCTACTCACTTTCAGTGAACGCTGTTGAGCAGAAGCACACGTTGTTTGGAAGACCAAAAATGCTGCAACCCAGCGATGACTACTGCTTACTGTATCATCAGGGCTTTGTCAACGGCTATAGCAAAAAAAAACTCATGCCAGTGTGGAACTCATTCACTGTGGACAAACCTGTAAGAGTTCCATGTCACTTCATCTAAAGGCCATCATTTTTACAAATCAGTGACTGATCAAGTATAATTTGTTAGACTCATTCATTTGAACTCTCGGTTAAGTATAACTTTGATATGTGAATGTCATGACACTTTCATATCCACAAGTCTTCACATGATCTATTATTTAGTCAAACATAAGCTATGATGAGTTTAAACAATGCCTCTCAGATCATCCACAGAAGCTAACTTTGATTGAATGACAACTAAAGGAAGGTTGGAATGTAAATTGACATATAAAGTACAGGGGTCATCCTTGTCAAAATGTATTGGAGAAGATCCAGGGTTGCTCTTTAGGTATTGTCTTCTTCAATGTTCCCCTTGCTTCCCTTGGATGTTTTGAAAATGATGTGGAGAGTGGATGTGAGGAATGCAAGAAGGAGTTTTGTCATGAATCATAAATATGATTTCCATCTCTTTGTCACCCTCTGTAGGAAGACATGGACCCTTTGCCAGGAGTCACACCAGACTGTCTGAGGGCTGATGTTCGCATCCCGGCTGATAAAAGTCCCAGATGTGACCAGTATGCTCCAGCTGGGAACATTACCCATGGTTTCCTCTACCCTCCCAGTACGTGGGATGATTTTACGTCTATCCTTCCAAAGACACTAGTCTTAAGCAAACAGAATAAGGCTGAAACAACAAAAGAGTCTAACTCCCATCCCCATAACTTTGCTTTTGTTTTTCTAACTTTGTTTGTCTATGTAATTTAATTAGCGGACACTCATAACCAGAGAGATGTGCTGTATGTGATGTAATAGTAGAATGTACGTCAAAAGGAAACTGTCGCTAATCTAGTTGCCTCCTCACTAAAATAATAATGTAATTCTCCCCCCAGGCATCCTGCTGTCGAAATAATGAAGAAGTTAGTCTTATTGAAGTATCTCGTTGTTTGTGTTATTTCTTATATGACGTCCAGATCTCAACAAGACAGCAGAGGAGGAGTATGATGGCCTGTTGATGAGCAATGTTGTACCCATGTATCCTGAGTTCAAGAGTACGTACACTCTTCACAGTCTGAGACAGCTCTCTCTTGATTCCTTTTAACCCATTTTTTCCTCTCTTGTTCACTCACTGTACTCTAATTCAGCTTGTCTCTCTACTTCTCTCCCTTACTCACTCCCTCACGTCTCCTACATGTTGTATGATGAAATCTTTATTTATTTAAAATTATTATTATTATTATGTACTTTTTTTATTTTGTGATTAAATTTGTATTTAGTTTTTCACACAACATAAAATAAGAACATCAACAAACAAAACAGACACAACAAACACAGTCAACACCACACAATGTCATATAAGTAGCTCCAGCTCATGATAAATAGAAAAATTAAAATAGATCAAATCTTTATTAATGCGCATCTCTTTATTTTCATAGAGATATGGGATTACTTCCAGACTACATTGCTGAAAAAATATGCCAGTCAATATAATGGCATTAATGTGGTGACAGGCCCAGCATTTGACTACAACTACGATGGACAGTTTGATTCTCAAGACCAGATACAACAGTATGTGAGCTCTTCTCTATTATACAAAACAGGGCCAATTGTGTGTTCTAACATGGGGAACATGCCATGGAGCAGAGCGGAAGCAAAGTTTATAAATCTCACAAAAGGCAATCATGAAACACGTAGTGTAGCAGAGCGCTATCAGTGGGGCACAGAGGATTGCAGCGATGCCAGATAGTTGTCTTAACCAGTGTTTTATTTCTTGTTTTCATTAAGGTTTGTAACAGGTACACAGATTCCAATCCCAACCCATTACTTTGCAGTACTCACGAGCTGTAAGGACTCACAACCAGTGAGCAGCTGTAACAATGAGCTACAGACCATTTCCTTCTTGATGCCACACAAAGCGGACAACTCAGAGAGCTGTAATGTAAGGCAACCATATCACCTCCAAAGCACTGGACACTTTTTTGTAAAAATAATAACAAAAAAACAAGAAAAACTGGACAGGTCTAAGTACTTGAATTGCAAGTACAGAAAGTTCTGGAATGATGTACATTCTGTACTCTCTTTCTCCTACCACTGACAAACACATAGGGAAATGCAAAAAAAAAGAAAGTATTTTAACGTTGAGAAAACACCTATAATTTCATGTGTTTTGAAGACACCTTTTGCATGACCCTTTCCAAACACCTGGCAACTATCATTATTGGTGGGAAACCCCTGGTTCGCACCTTGATGTGGATTGTGTTTAGTGTGTAGTCCAGATTGCATTAGAGTTTAGGCCGGTGGAGCTGTTACGGTTTGTTGCTCCTACTTCACTGTATTAGTCAGCAGGGACGGCTTGTTCAATAGGGCGATATGGGCGACGCACTGCCAAACGGGAAAAGGAAGGGATTTTTTTTCTAATCAATTATAAAAAAAAAAAAATAAAAAAAAATTATAATTTTTTTTTAATAAATTTATAAAAAATTATATCACGGCAACAGCAGTTATCAGTGTTCACGTCTGATCTGACAGCCACTAAATGTCAAATCAGGCTAAAGTCGTGCTTCAAATGGCCCCGCCCGTTTTTTGGGCGATTTCAGTCAGGTTGAAAATCGCCCAGAAGTCTCTCATAGCCTGTCATGTAAAATCTATTTTTTTCACATTTCAAAGCTTTCAATACATTCTCTATGGGTGTCTGTGGGCTTGCACTTACGCGCTTTCGTCATACATAACGTAACCACGAATGAACGTAACTAAGAAAAGACCAGGTAGCAGCCTCAATCAATTCACTACTACTATCAAAATGGCTAGGCTTCAGTCCAACTCGATTGTGTCTTTGAAAGAAGTTCCTTTTTGTCGGCGAACAAATTAAGATAAATTGGCAACGAAACAATTAGGACCTCCCAGACCAAATTTAATAATTCAACAGGTTTCTACTAAAGGCGGAAAGTCCTACACCTGAGGATTTTCTAAAAATTGGTACGAACGAAAAAAGACATTGCCACTCACTCAACTGGATGACGAGGGATACAGGCTAGCTGTCCGCCGCCACAACGATGAGGTTAGTGTTGATAATCACAAGTTTACTGGATGTGGATATGGTGTAATAAAGGCAGTTTATTCAGAGGTAAATATATCTGGAATCGCGTTCACGGACCCGTTCGTCAAACTCTTAGGGAGCTATAAATTAAGCCCCATTACTTACCATATCAGATAAGAGAAATTGCTGCAGCTACATATATTTTACATCCTGGCCCTACATAGTTCACTATTTGCATCACTTACCAAAATATTACATGTGGTCATATATGCTTGGAAAGTGGAGATGCCATAGAACGTCAAAAAAGTAAACATTGCTGGAGACACATTGTCGTTTTGGAGAAGACATCGCGTTTGCTAGCGAAGAGATTTGTTGTGGCAAATGAACTTGGCCTGGGAATTGCCAGGAACCTCACGATAAGATATATGCATCAGCATTGCGAGTCTCATGATTCTATACGTATTGCGATTCGATACTGTGATTTTATTGCGCACCATATGTCTGTTGCAGAGGGATCAGAAAGCCATGAGAACGAGTTTTGATCAGTCATGGAAATAAAAGTGCTGAAAACTAATTGGCTCCCAATGTGAAAAGATTGAGAACAAGCTATGAAGGAACAATAATGGTGTTTTGGTGCAGGTACAGCCAACTAGCGCTAAAATATTGCGATATTGTCAATACAGTATATCGTAAAGTATCACTATGTAACTCGATTTCTTTCACCCCAATCCCTCAAATTAACGGTAAATAACTGAATTGTTTGCCCCACATTTAGCTAAGATGATTAGCTAGCCAGCTAAAATGTTTTATTTAGTTAGCAGTCGCATCTACAATAGTTTACTGTCAATAACATGTCTCCAAAAATGACGTGGTGTCTCCAATTGTGTTGACATTTTACAATTGCAATGCGCATCCATGAGTATCCACTTTCTGTAGCTCAGCTGGTAGAGCATGGTGCTTGTAACGCCAAGGTAGTGGGTTCGATCCCCGGGACCACCCATACACAAAAATGTATGCACGCATGACTGTAAGTCGCTTTGGATAAAAAGCGTCTGCTAAATGGCATATTATTATTATTATTATTATTATCTGAAGAGAGCCCCGAAACATTGTGTGCAGACATTTTATGTAATAAATGAAGTAGGTTCAATCTAGTAGTTCTGATCTTCTGATTGGTCCTGATGAGTTGGGCGAGGTCACCTCCAGGCTACTGTCACTGTTGCATTGGCTCTGAGTCGGGTTCTCTGTCTTCAAATGTTCAGCCTAAGAGAGGGGATTTTTGTGTGTGTGTGTGTGTGTGTGTTTAACAGTGATGATGTGTGTGTGTGTGTGTGTGTGTGTGTGTGTGTGTGTGTGTGTTTAACAGTGATGATGTGTGTTTGTGTGTGTGTGTGTCCTCAGAGCAAGAACTCGTGAGTTGGAAGAACTGAGAGGCCTATGGCGTGGGTGTTGTCCTTGGCCACCTGCTGACAAGGCTGACAAGATAGGACCCTTTTGTCCATTGTTATTGGATAGGAACAGAACTTATAACCAGCTCCTGACCTAAATAGATCTTAGCACAACATTTTACTCAACATATCATATTCCATATTCACTATAACAAATATATTTACTACGACATTAGCAAGAACCGCCACATCCTCAGCCGGCTAATCCAGTGTGTGAAGTTTTGCGGAGTGTTTGAGTTAGCTTTGCGAGGCAAAGATGAAACTGAGGGCTCCACCAACCCTGGTAAGCCAACACTTTTGAGATCAGTCAATAAATGCTTCTGGTATTGACTTATATGCTGCCCCTGTCTTCATGTTGTTGCTGGACATATCTTTTTTTTAAATGTGTGTAGGTCACCTAAATCATCAGAAAAATTGCCCCTCCTGAGAATTTTTTCAGGAGCCGCCACTGTTAGTCAGACTCAGACATGAGTTAGCTACCACCATAGTTGCATCCATTATTTAATTTTGCCCTAGACAATACAGAATACACTTATATGAGCTACAAACTAACTTGCAAATCTGACTAGTAGGCTAATGTTAGCTAGCTGTAGCTAGCTAGCCTACCTCACTAGCATTATCAAATTATAATAATACATAACCAGTATCTAGACAATACACTTGTATAAGCTACGACCTAACTAATTTGTAATGAGGTAGCTAGCTAGTTATCTAGCTAGCTAGCTAGCCAAGCTAACATTAGCTAAAAAGTTAGCTAGCCTGCCTTGCTAGCTAACGTTAGCTAGCCTGCCTTCGAGCTTGGCAAAAGGGGGCATGGTTTGTTGACATAATTGTAATCCAAACCCAACCTTCATTTACTCGTTGTGACGCACTGAAGTTCCAAACTCCATTTTAGACGAGTCTGACTTTATGACCAAAAGTATCCTATTTTCTCTTTTTCCTACCACTGACAAACACATTGGGAAATGCAAAAAAGTGTTATAACGTTGAGAAAACACCTGTAATTTCATGTGTTTTGAAGACAGTCATCTTTTGCATGGCTCTTTCCCAACACCTGGCAACTATCACGATGTTTTGGTGGAAAACCCCTGGTTCGCACCTTGATCACATTGTTTTTTTCTGTACCTCTGTCTTGTTGTGTCAACACGTAAGTAGTGATAATTACGGTCTGTGACACTGATTCACTTGTTTTTATACTTCCATAGAATGGTGACACGGCATCTCTATGGGTTGAAGACCACCTGTGGTTCCACCAATCACGTGTCAGAGATGTAGAGTGGCTCACAGGATTGGATTTCTATCAAGGCAGCACCAGGCCTATCCCAGAACTTCTAAAAGTAAAGACTCGCCCAACTGCTGTCATTCACAGAAGGCCTTGAAATGAATTATCTTTTGAAATATACATGTATTGGTAGAGGTATTTGATCATTATAAAAGCTGCAATTTTATTAAGTTGGTCTAGTGTGGGTATTTATCCACTTGTTAATAAATATTTCATGATTCAAATCAATGCAGGGAGGTATGCAAATGTCATGAAAATGTAGAATGCTTCTGTAGAGCACAATAACCACAGAAGTATTTTCCAACTTTAAATTCCTGTGCAGAAATTATCCCCTAATCTTCTGACTTCCACAGAAAGACCTGTTTGAAAATTACAGGAAACATATCAGCTCAATGATCATGTATAATGCAATATTTCCACCCAGCCAAACCCTCACATGGCATTACTGTTATCTGCTGGCATAGAGACAGCAATGCTGTAGAATACATGTTGACTTCTTCCTCTTTTTTATTTGTTGAACATGTTAATAATGCATCATGATTTATATGTAATAGTGCAAAATGTCTTTATGAACAGTTATGGTTCTTCCAAGTAATGAGCATTTGGCCTTATGTCCCAGTCAGTCTGGTGTGTAAAAAACTGTGCAATAGCATTGAGTGGATGATTGGGTATTGTAAGTGCAGTGTAACATATTGACTATTCTAATTCTGATGAACATTACAAAGGAGGATATGATGGCAAAATATAGATTTGACTTTTTATTCCTGATATCTAATTTCCAGAAAATAAATTGTCCCAATGTACTTTATGCCCATGTAAAAGGCTGAGCAATGTATTGTATCCATTTATCACCATTCATAGTCATGGGTTTTTAATGACTCAATTACCGTGGAAAGGGGTCTGTCAGGAGAATTTCCTTCCAATATTGTGAATAGTAGATTTCTGTGGTGTAAGTGAACCGACTGTATACAGAATAGTCTACAAAGTCTGCAATGCTATATGTGAACTGAAAGACAATTACATAAAGTTCCCTGATGCTGCTGCCCAAGCAAACTACAAGGTAGAGTTACAGTGGCTTGCGAAAGTATTCACCCCCCTTGGCATTTTTCCTATTTTGTTGCCTTACAACCTGGAATTAAAATTGATTTTTTGGGGGTTTGTATCATTTGATTTACACAACATGCCTACCACTTTGAAGATGCAAAATATATTTTGTTTGTGAAACAAACAAGAAATAAGACAAAAAAACAGAACTTGAGCGTGCATAACTATTCACCCCCTCAAAGTCAATACCTTGTAGAGCCACCTTTTGCAGCAATTACAGCTGCAAGTCTCTTGGGGTATGTCTCTATAAGCTTGGCACATCTAGCCACTGGGATTTTTGCACATTCTTCAAGGCAAAACTGCTCCAGCTCCTTCAAGTTGGATGGGTTCCGCTGGTGTACAGCAATCTTTAAGTCATACCACAAATTCTCAATTGGATTGAGGTCTGGGCTTTGACTAGGCCATTCCAAGACATTTAAATGTTTCCCCTTAAACCACTCGAGTGTTGCTTTAGCAGTATGCTTAGGGTCATTGTCCTGCTGGAAGGTGAACCTCCATCCCAGTCTCAAATCTCTGGAAGACTGAAACAGGTTTCCCCTCAAGAATTTCCTTGTATTTAGCGCCATCCATCATTCCTTCAATTCTGACCAGCTTCCCAGTCCCTGCCGATGAAAAACATCCCCACAGCATGATGCTGTCACCACCATGTTTCACTGTGGGGATAGTGTTCTCGGGGTGATGAGAGGTGTTGGGTTTGCGCCAGACATAGCGTTTTCCTTGATGGCCAAAAAGCTCAATTTTAGTCTCATCTGACCAGAGTACCTTCTTCCATATGTTTGGGGAGTCTCCCACATGCCTTTTGGCAAACACCAAACGTGTTTGCTTATTTTTTTCTTTAAGCAATGGCTTTTTTCTGGCCACTCTTCCGTAAAGCCCAGCTCTGTGGAGTGTACGGCTTAAAGTGGTCCTATGGACAGATACTCCAATCTCTGCTGTGGAGCTTTGCAGCTCCTTCAGGGTTATCTTTGGTCTCTTTGTTGCCTCTCTGATTAATGCCCTCCTTGCCTGGTCCGTGAGTTTTGGTGGGCGGCCCTCTCTTGGCAGGTTTGTTGTGGTGCCAAATTCTTTCCATTTTTTAATAATGGATTTAATGGTGCTCCGTGGGATGTTTCTGATATGTTTTTACAGTGAGGGAAAAAGGTATTTGATCCCCTGCTGATTTTGTACGTTTGCCCACTGACAAAGAAATGATCAGTCTATAATTTTAATGGTAGGTTTATTTGAACAGTGAGAGACAGAATAACAACAACAAAATCCAGAAAAACGCATGTAAAAAATGTCAGATTCCAAACTCTCCACCATGGCCAAGACCAAAGAGCTCTCCAAGGATGTCAGGGACAATATTGTAGACCTACACAAGGCTGGAATGGGCTACAAGACCATCGGCAAGCAGCTTGGTGAGAAGGTGACAACAGTTGGTGTGATTATTCTCAAATGGAAGAAACACAAAATAACTGTCAATCTCCCTCGGCCTGGGGCTCCTTGCAAGATCTCACCTTGAGGAGTTGCAATGATCATGAGAACGGTGAGGAATCAGCCCAGAACTACACTGGAGGATCTTGTCAATGATCCTCAAGGCAGCTGGGACCATAGTCATCAAGAAAACAATTGGTAACACACTACGCCATGAAGGACTGAAATCCTGCAGCGCCCGCAATGTCCCCCTGCTCAAGAAAGCACATATACATGCCAATGAACATCTGAATGATTCAGAGGAGAACTGGGTGAAAGTGTTGTGGTCAGATGAGACCAAAACTCAACTCGCCATGTTTGGAGGAGGAGAAATGCTGCCTATGACCCCAAGAACACCATCCCCACCGTCAAACATGGAGGTGGAAACATTATGCTTTGGGGGTGTTTTTCTGCTAAGGGGACAGGACAACTTCACCGCATCAAAGGGACGATGGACGGGGCCATGTACTGTCAAATCTTGGGTGAGAACCTCCTTCCCTCAGCCAGGGCATTGAAAATGGGCCGTGGATGGGTATTCCAGCATGACAATGACCCCAAACACACGGCTCAAGAAGAAGCACATTAAGGTCCTGGAGTGGCCTAGCCAGTCTCCAGACCTTAATCTCATAGAAAATCTGTGGAGGGAGCTGAAGGTTCGAGTTGCCAAACGTCAGCCTCGAAACCTTAATGACTTGGAGAAGATCTGCAAAGAGGAGTGTGACGTGAGATGTGTGCAAACCTGGTGGCCAACTACAATAAACGTCTGACCTCTGTGATTGCCAACAAGGGTTTTGCCACCAAGTACTAAGTCATGTTTTGCAGAGGGGTCAAATACTTATTTCCCTCATTAAAATGCAAATCAATTTATAACATTTTTTACATGCATTTTTCAGGATTTTTTTGTTGTTATTCTGTCTCTCACTGTTCAAATAAACCTACCATTAAAATTATAGACTGATCATTTCTTTGTCAGTGGGCAAACGTACAAAATCAGCAGGGGATCAAATACTTTTTTCCCTCACTGTATAACCCAACCCTGATCTGTACTTCTCCACAACTTTGTCCCTGACCTGTTTGGAGAGCTCCTTGGTCTTCATGGTGCCGCTTGCTTGGTGATGCCCCTTGCTTAGTGGTGTTGCAGACTCTGGGGCCTTTCAGAACAGGTGTATATATACTGAGATCATGTGACAGATCATGTGACACTTAGATTGCACACAGATGGGTTTTAAGTCACTCTGGATAAGAGCGTCTGCTAAATGACGTAAATGTAAATGTAAATGTTTTATTTATCTAATTATGTGACTTCTGAAGGTAATTGGTTGCACCAGATATTATTTAGGGGCTTCATAGCAAAGGGGGTGAATACATATGCACGCACCACATTTCCGTTATAAATTTTTTAGAATTTGTTGAAACAAGTTATTTTTTTCATTTCACTTCACCAATTTGGACTATTTTGTGTATGTCCATTACATGAAATCCAAATAAAAATCCATTTAAATTACAGGTTGTAATACAACAAAATAGGAAAAACGCCAAGGGGGATGAATACTTTTGCAAGGCACTGGCTGATAGATGGATGTCATATTCCCATCAAGTGTCCCTCTACAGCAGATACTGAGGAGTACAGGAACCATTAAATCTGGTCATCAATAAATGTAGAAAGTGTGTGCACTCTCAATTTGCAGATCTCCAATATTGTTGCACGTTGGAAAGGTGCAACTCATGACTCAAGGACTTTCCAAAACTCGTCTTTGTATGCTCAGCTTGAAGGAGGATAACATAGTGGAGTCATACTTGGTGACGTTGGGTATGTACAGACCAACTTCTTGTTCACCCCCTATCTTCATGCAATAGGACCTGAGCAACAACGGTACAACCAAGCTCATATCCGCACCAGAGGTGTAGTGGAGCTCATGTTTGGTGTATGGAAGAGTCGTATCCAGTGTATCAGGAACACATTGCACTTTCCACCAAGAAGATGCTGCATTGTCTTAATTGCAACAGCAGTGCTTCACAATTACCTCAAACAGCATGGCTGCCCAGATCCTCGTATTGAAGATGAGGAAGACCCAGATGTTCCCATGGTTGACAGATATGGACTGGCCTGCAGAGATGTTTTTGCTATGCAGCACTTCTCACAACAAAGATAGCTCAAGTGATTGAAGCGAACAATAGCCATGGATTGGTAACAATAAGGTTTTTAATTCACAAATGGAAATATTGGGACCCCGAACTGGTGCTGGTTTGAGTAGAACATTGGTACTGCTGCTGCTTCCTGTTTCTCTCCTCCTCCTTCATAGCCAACTCAACATGAAGGATTTGCATCTTCATGTTCTTCTTTTAAATAGATTAGTTTGCATTCATGAAATTCCATGGCCTCTTTGTCATGCATGCTCAGCCTATTTGTCTTTGTTCTCCGGCCCCGGTTAGTGACACAATCTTCCCTCCTGACTGCTGATGATGTAGCGGGCTGACCTTCATCCTATCTCATACCCTCCAAGCTATGGTGATCATCTGCCTCTAGAAAATGATTACATTGCTGCAATAGTGAACATCATTTTTTCAAGAGTTTAGTTCATTACATAATTGTATTATGGGAGTGCAAGAGATGACTGACAACATTACACATTCCCTGCAGTCCGGGGATTGCACATATTGAATGAATGTTTCCTACCAAATGAGGATTGGAACGGTCCCCCATCTGACCTGTCCAAATGGTCATCATCGGGGATACCTTCCAGGGGTTGCTGGCTATCATTGATCCTGATCAACAAGTCCCCCAGCTCATCGGTCTCTGGTCTTACTGGGGGCTGCCACCAGTTCAGAAGAAACAGACAATGATTCTACTGAAAGTCAGTTATTTATTTGGAAAATGTTTGAGGGAGAAAATAACTTCCAATACATTTCCATATCCTTTAGATGACAATTACCAGAGTGATTTCCATTAATCTTGATAATTATACTGAACGAAATTGTTGGTCCCAGAAATTTTCCATACGCACAGTATTTTTGAATAAACACAGGGTTGGCTTTCTTTGGAATAGATATGTGCGTCTTTCGCTTACAAGGCAATGAGGGCTGACATTATTTTAGAAAGAAAACATATGCTGTATGGGGAATCCAGCCAATCACCGCTCGAAAGGGTGAATCACCACAGGGTGAGATCTCCTCAATCACATAGAACCAAGGTTGCATTAGTAACCCATATATTGTGGTTGAATGTTATTCTCATGGTTGCTTGTGTTATTATTCGGGTTTAAAGTTCCATTATGTTCCAGGAATTCTTTGATGTCTGACTGGCTCTCTGATTCACATCAGTTGGACCTAAGATCTGGGAAACTCTCCAGGGCCAGGGTTGGGACACGCACGCACACACACACACACACACTTTGCTAATTCAGTGCGTCTCTGTTGGCAATTAAATGAGCTGCACCAGATGGTCACAAAGCAACAACGGTCTTCTGAGAATATCAGCACAAGAACTCTCCTTTTATTATTTTTTTTTTCTCCTCTTCAAATTGTGCTGTATGTTTTTCATACCTGAAGGGAACACTTGAAGAGAAGGCCCACATTCGTCATGATGTAAAAGGTTGATCTGATAGAGAACATATTCCATTGTATAATAATATGCATGATGTATTTTATGTAATTGAACTGGAAAGTGTTTATGTAATGTTGTCATGGTACAAATATGTTTCTGTATTAACAAATCCACAAATTCACCAATGGAGTTTCTTAAATCAATGTTCAGAATTTTACCATGAAAATCATATTTTACGAGACATGGGAAACCTTAGTAAGAGAAGAGAAAATAAGATATAAATGTTAATAATGCATAGCTTTTCACACAAAAAAACATCAGCTATTAAAAAGAAGTGTGCGCAAAGCTGTCATCAAGGCAAAGGGTGGCTTTTTTGAAGAATCTCAAATATAAAATATATTTTGATTTGTTTAACACTTATTTGGTTACTACATGATTCCATACAGTGGGGAAAAAAGGTATTTAGTCAGCCACCAATTGTGCATGTTCTCCCACTTAAAAAGATGAGAGGCCTGTAATTTTCATCATAGGTACACGTCAACTATGACAGACAAATTGAGAGAGAAAAAATCCAGAAAATCACATTGTAGGATTTTTTATGAATTTATTTGCAAATTATGGTGGAAAATAAGTATTTGTTCACCTACAAACAAGCAAGATTTCTGGCTCTCACAGACCTGTAACTTCTTCTTTAAGAGGCTCCTCTGTCCTCCACTCGTTACCTGTATTAATGGCACCTGTTTGAACTTGTTATCAGTATAAAAGACACCTGTCCACAACCTCAAACAGTCACACTCCAAACTCCACTATGGCCAAGACCAAAGAGCTGTCAAAGGACACCAGAAACAAAATTGTAGACCTGCACCAGGCTGGGAAGACTGAATCTGCAATAGGTAAGCAGCTTGGTTTGAAGAAATCAACTGTGGGAGCAATTATTAGGAAATGGAAGACATACAAGACCACTGATAATCTCCCTTGATCTGGGGCTCCATGCAAGATCTCACCCCGTGGGGTCAAAATGATCACAAGCAAAAATCCCAGAACCACACGGGGGGACCTAGTGAATGACCTGCAGAGAGCTGGGACCAAAGTAACAAAGCCTACCATCAGTAACACACTACGCCGCCAGGGACTCAAATCCTGCAGTGCCAGATGTGTCCCCCTGCTTAAGCCAGTACATGTCCAGGCCCGTCTGAAGTTTGCTAGAGTGCATTTGGATGATCCAGAAGAGGATTGGGAGAATGTCAGATGAAACCAAAATAGAACTTTTTGGTAAAAACTCAACTCGTCGTGTTTGGAGGACAAAGAATGCTGAGTTGCATCCAAAGAACACCATACTTACTGTGAAGCATGGGGGTGGAAACATCATGCTTTGGGGCTGTTTTCCTGCAAAGGGACCAGGACGACTGATCCGTGTAAAGGAAAGAATGAATGGGGCCATGTATCGTGAGATTTTGAGTGAAAACCTCCTTCCATCAGCAAGGGCATTGAAGATGAAACGTGGCTGAGTCTTTCAGCATGACAATGATCCCAAACACACCACCCGGGCAACGAAGGAGTGGCTTCGTAAAAAGCATTTCAAGGTCCTGGAGTGGCCTAGCCAGTCTCCAGATCTCAATCCCATAGAAAATCTTTGGAGGGAGTTGAAAGTCTGTGTTGCCCAGCGACAGCCCCAAAACATCACTGCTCTAGAGGAGATCTGCATGGAGGAATGGGCCAAAATACCAGCAACAGTGTGTGAAAACCTTGTGAAGACTTACAGAAACGTTTGACCTGTGTCATTGCCAACAAAGGGTATATAACAAAGTATTGAGAAACTTTTGTTATTGACCAAATACTTATTTTCCACCATAATTTGCAAATAAATTCATAAAAAATCCTACAATGGGATTTTCTGTTTTTTTGTTTTCTCATTTTGTCTGTCATAATTGACGTGTACCTATGATGAAAATTACAGGCCTCTCTCATCTTTTTAAGTGGGAGAACTTGCACAATTGGTGGCTGACTAAATCCTTTTTTTCCCCACTGTATGTGTTATTTCATAGTTTTGATGTCTTCACTATTATTCTACAATGTAAAAAATTGTAAAAATAAAGAAAAACCCTTCAATGAGTAGGTGTGTCCAAACTTTTGACTGGTACTGTACGTCTATGGGAATACTGAAGCTGTTTTTGGACATGATTCAGATGTATGTTTAACAGCAGCTCTTTACCTTTCCGGAGTCATGGGTCTTTATCAAAACAATACATTTTAATGGAAACGCACCATTGCAGGCAGTTGTTGCAGCTATTCTATTCCAAAAAAATAATCACTGGACAAGTTAATGGAAACATAGCTAGTGACAACCTCTGAGGAAAACAACATGCACTTTTAGCACCCTCAAGGCAAGCGTTTCCCTACTCCGGTTCCCAAGTACCCCCAACAGCACACATTTATTTTGTAGCCCAGAGCAAAATAATTATTAGTTGACAAGTTTAATCAGGTGTGCTTGTCTGGGGCTACAATAAAACTGTGTGCTGTTGGGGGTACTCAAGGAAGGACTGGATTTGGGAAACACTACTCTAGGCTACTTGATGGTTAGCTCTCAAAAAACCTTCTTACAGAGCCCCACAGTGGAGGTGTCATAATACCCATAAAACCTAGCGTTCAAACAGGGAAATGCTTCCAATCGTTTTTCCACCATTCATTTTTCCCATAGGGGATTTTAGAAACACTTCAAGTAAGGGCTTTGCTTCGTGTAGGCTTACCCTGGCATGACATTTTGATAACTATGTAAATCTCTCTCGGACAAGGTGACTTTTATCAATATATTTAGGCTCTATTTATTCTCATATTATAAAATGCTAATTGATTCAAAGTAGACATCATGCAAGACTACAAATCCCTGCAAGCTCCTGCACATCATCTCTAGCTGAAACCTTTTGCTAAACAATTAGTGTGTCAATTTAAAACTTGCACATGACAGTTCACAGAATTGTCAATTTAAAGAAATGTAACCAATTCATTACTACATTTAGCTAACATTAGATAGTTAATCCAGAGAGTCTCGTCCAGATCACTATGGTCTTTGTAGTTCTTTATGATTATGATTATGCCACATTAGCAGCTAATTAGCATTTCATTTGCGGGTAAATACAGGCGAATATATTGATGAAAGTCACCTTGTCCTAGAGAGATTTACACGGTTATCAAAACGTCACACCAGGGTAAGCCTACACAAAACACAGACCTTATTTTATGTGTTTCTAAAATCCCCTATGGGAAAATGAATGGTGGAAAAACGATTGGACATGCGGAGATCATCCGTTAACGCACACCGCGTCTCACAAAGACACGGCGGTTGGAACCAAAAATCTCCAATTTGGACTCCAGACCAAAGGACACATTCCCACCGGTCTAATGTCCATTGCTCGTGTTTCTTGGCCCAAGCAGGTCTCTTCTTATTATTGGTGTCCTTTAGTAGTGGTTTCTTTGCAGCAATTCGACCACGAAGGCCTGATTCACACAGTCCCCTCTGAACAGTTGATGTTGAGATGTGTCTGTTACTTGAACTGTGAAGCATTTATTTGGGCTGCAATTTCTGAGGCTGGTAACTCTAATTAACTTATCCTCTGCAGCAGAGGTAACTCTGGGTCTTCCATTCCTGTCGCGGTCCTCATGAGAGCCAGTTTCATCATAGTGCTTGATGGTTTTTGCGACTGCACTTGAATAACCTTTCAAAGTTCTTGATATGTTCCGTATTGACTGACCTTCATGTCTTAAAGTAATGCTGGACTGTCGTTTCTCTTTGCTTATTTGAGCTGTTCTTGCCATAATATGGACTTGGTCTTTTACCAAATAGGGTTATTGTCGTAGAAATATTTGACTCAAAGAGTAGTCAACTTAAAAATATTTCTCAAGAGACTGGAACTTGTGAATTTAGACTTTTATTATTTGCATAACAAAGCCGAGCTTGCTCCATGGAGCAACAACTGCTTGTCCTGAACCGGAGTGCTCCTTTTTATACAGACACATGCATAGCCACACTGATACAGCTGATAGTTCCTCCCTATGTGAATGAATAGCATCTTTCAGTATCACATGTTGGCTACTCACGAGGGCTACTTGCGCTTCTCTAAGTGGGGCCTCTGTATCTTATTAGTGGCATGACTCAAAAAATTATGTACATACGTACGTTAAAGAACAATCACACTCTGTATTGACTATATTCACTATCCAGGCATGCATCTGGAGTACAAAGTATCAATCATGTTCATTCTGTTTCACCATTATCATTTCATAACACATTATAAAACATATCCATTAATACTTAAACATGATTTAAACATGTCATCCATAACCCATTCTCAACCACATACATTTAAACATTTATCATTTATCATCCTCCCTGGCCCTTGAGATTATGTGCATGTGGCCATGTGTCAGGTCATAAGGTCATAAGCACAAAGAAATGATAACACTAGTTCCATTGTTACTCCAATCTCCACACAGCCACCACGAGGAGTTGTATCTCCATCACATGTCATTGACATACCCAGACTAGCTGCAGGGAGTTTATGAAAAACACATAAATGTCTCTGCTCTGTATTAACCCTTCAACTGGTTCTCAATCCATAAACATTTTAAGGCATATAGGTTTTTAATTCTACAACATATGTACTTGAAAATCATCCATACTATCTTCTGTATACCCCCCTACTTTGTCACAACACAACTGATGGGCTCAAACGCATTAAGAAGGAAAGAAATTCCACAAATTAACTTTTAAGAAGGCACACCTGTTATTTGAAAGGCATTCCAGGTGACTACCTCATGAAGCTGGTTAAGAGAATGCCAAGAGTGTGCAAAGCTGTCATCAAGGCAAAGGGTAACTAATTGAAGAATCTCAAATATAAAATATATTTTATATTACTACATGATTCCATATGTGTTATTTCATAGTTTTGATGTCTTCACTACTATTCTACAATGTAGAAA